AAATTTGTGATGTCTTTTTACAGCGCACTAGAGTGAGACTAGCCAGTTAGGAATTAGTCTTAGGATGCTATTGATCAACTACTGATGATTGGCTTTATCTTCTGTGTATTAATACCTTACATATTCTCGTATTTCCTATATCTCTTATATTGCTGTTACTTTGTTTTTATGGTATTTATGTTATGTTATGGATTTTATGGTATTTTATGGTGTTTTATTATGAGTCTATTGATAGTACTAATATAGTGTCTCTTGTTGCCTCTTTGAGCCGAGTGTCTCCTGGAAACAGCCTCTCTGCCCCTCGGGGTAGAGGTAAGGTCTGCGTACATATTACCCTCCCCAGACCCCACTTGTGGGATTACACTGGGTTATTGTTGTTGTTGTTGCAATAATTTAGATAAAAATGCATAACCTATTTTTATTTTTCCTTTAGCGTAATCATGTAATTAATACTCCCTTATTAGTCTACTTATTTTAGCATGACTTAGTACTTTTAGATTATGTTTATTTTTCTTATGGTTTTTTAATTAGCAATATTTATATTACATAATTTTATTGTCTTTATTGTTGAATACTTTAGGATAATGCCATGACATATCTCATATTTTGTATTATTTTTTTGGAAAATACTTTATATAGTTATATCTTGGTAGGACTAAAGAAATATTTTGAGCACAATTTATATGTTTTGTTCTACGAAGATTTTACCGGGACAAAAACCCGAAAAAATCTGAATAACCCGAAAACCCGAAAAAATCGAGAGTAAAAAACCCGAGTTTTATTGGTTTAGTTTTTTGATTTAATAACTCGACACAATTGGTTTGATTTGGTAATTGTAAAATCCAAACCAACCCGACCTATGTACACCCGGAGGATTTGATTATTATACTGCTTCACATACAACAACCACAACAATTATTCAAGAGCATTTCCTTAAGATCAACTAAGGCATGTAACAGCTAGAATGTACGACAACAATAACTACACCAAAATTTCATTGACACAGATAACATATTTCATGTTGACAGCTGAAAAGTAAGAAGCATAAAAATATCCCCTTTATTTGACGTTTTTCATGAATTGGTTCCTCTTTTCCGTTTTTTGGGTAGTTTTCAGGTGAGGTTGGGATATACACGGTGGTCAATCAGCCTCCTGCAACCCATCCAAAACCACTGACCCAACTAACAACCCGACAGCTCCCAACCCAAGTGCTCCAGCCAAAACGGCCTGGACCGCCACAAGACCCGCAGAATCATCGGGTATCAACACGATTGCTAGTATAGCCGCCACTAAAATAGGAAGCGCCGCCGACGCCAAAGCAGAAGGCTCGAAACTCGCAGCCTTCTCTAGCAAACTGAGCAGTCCAAGTTCTTCGGCCTTTGAAAATACACCTAACTTCTCTATGGAGGACAGCGTAAAGCCTAGCTCTTCGGCCTTTGATAGAAGCCCAGCTTTCTCTACAGTGCTCAAAACTTTTCGCTTCTCCAGTTTTTTGAACACATCAACTTCCACTTGTTCTCCGCCCTCGTAGAATAGTCCCGCTCCGTACCATTGTTTTTTCCAAGCATCATCATACTTGTTCACCTGCATTAGTGATTCTTATTAGTTAGTATTGTGGTACTCTTTTTAGCTCAGCTACTGTGAGTGTAAAACAGAATTAGCTCTCGTTTGACCATACATTTTGGCTTCATTTTTTCAAAAATGTTAAAAATATTGTTTGTTTATAAAATATGATCATGTTTTGAGGAAAAAAAATTCAAATATTTCCAAGTTCTCAGAATTTTTTTCTTCCACTCATAAAACTTTAATTTTTCTTCAAATAAAATACATGTTCAAATACAACTTCTACTTTCAAAAATTATTTTTCAACACAACTTAAAAAAGTCTTTTTTCAAGTTTCAATCAAATTTACGTTCAAACGCTGGCTTAGTAATTTGGTGCAAAGTCTATATAAACAATGATGGTTCCTATAGATCGACATTTTTTTTCGTTTTTGATAAGAAGATGGTACTTCACTAATCACTGCACAAAGAATGTGCGAATTTGCACTCAACCAAGGGAGTGCATCAAGTGCTCGAATAAATTGACATAATTACCAAAAATAAAAATTAGAGCAGAAGTTATAATTCCGAGCACATTTATGTTTAAAGCAAAAAAACAACTGTGCCTAAGTGTAAATTCTGCATAAATTTAGTCTTAGAAGGGTACTGTTTCTTTCAATTTTGAAGTTTCAATGTATTCTTAGCAGTCAATATATATAGAATAGTTTAATTATGATGAATACTCTGAAGAATGAAAGGTCTTTCATATAACTCCATGAAAGAATGATGATAGAAATACTATTGATATTCATTGCAAGGAAATTAGCCCATAGATTAAGTTCACTGTTTTAATCAATCAAGAACCCTTTTCATACATACTTAACTGAATTAAGAGTGGGATAATACAGAAGAACCTCCAAACTTGTCCCGATTTTCCCATTACGATCTTATACTTGAGAGGTCCTATCACAAACCCATTCCCACCCTATGACGAAACAAGATTTCTCATGCAACGCTTGCAAAGGCAGAGCTAGAATTTGAATTTTATGAATTCGGAATTTTAGTCATTTTAAGTTAACGTGTTCTAAATTGATATTTGTATATATTCAATAAATTTCTTAAAACAAATACAAGGGTTGGACCAAATTAATAGTTTAGCAGAACCCGTAATATCAACATTAACTTTGCCCCTCACCACGTGGTACACCAAATCATTCTAATTTGTCATGGTTAAGTTATAAATTAACTATAATACAATAATACAAACTGGAAGTATAATATTTGTTTCAAACAAGTTTGATTGTTCTAAGTAAATAAGGTTTTAGATGACCATCAGGGGGNCCAATATGGGAAAACTTATGAATGTACCAACAAAATAAGGGGAATGTCTTAATTTTCGATTACAACCGAATTAGCGTAATATAAATGGGATACCTTCTTTTTAGGAGCCATGGCCAAGAATCGCGGGGCGCTTTTAGAGGGAAATAAGCGGCCAAATCGGGGCTTGGAACTAAAGCCATGCTCTACGATTCTCAGATAAGCAGTGGTTGAAGCCGCCATTGAAGAGTTTCAGCTTCTCCCCAAAACTCTAGTTTCACATGAACTTTCATTAGACCCAAACACTAACCCTTTCTTCTCCTCAGAATTCTATGGTTCCAAATTATTTGACCAATCAAATTGCTGCTTATCCTATCTGGACAGGAAAATTTTAGATGCCGTGGCGTTGCTAAATATTATTTTTCCAATTATACCCTCAATTCTCCTCATTTTTACCTCACGTGGTACGTTACACTTCTAAAGTAGTCATTAAACTCCTGGACTAGGATTTTAATTGCTTACTTCATTACTTAGTTCTTAGTTTGTGTCATGTTTGAATTAAAATACTTTATAGACTAGTTTTACTAGGACAATAATACTTCGGCATCAGATAAAGTCCTAGAGATATAGCATGTATTATAATTGCAAATTAATTAGGTTATTGGCAAGTACTTATAACCAGTATATATTACCTCTCCTTAATTTTCCAGGGTTGCCATAAGATTATAATGAAGATGCTCATCTCATACTTTTTTGCTCTACTACTTTTGCCTTCTTTGGTTTTTTCTGTACATGATTCTCCAGTATTTAATGTTCTGGATTATGGTGCAGTTGGAGATGGCTTGGCCGATTCAACCAATGTATTTAACTATCCATTAATAGATGAATTACGTGTTAATGGACTATTCATTAGTGGACTAAGCACTTTTTTCATGCAAATTCTTTATAGGCTTTCAACAAAACATGGGAAGCAACATGCTCGTCATCGTCATCTTCTCCAACTATGTACGTTCCCTTTGGCAATACGTTCTTGATTCATCCCTTGAAACTGAGTGGCCCTTGCTCATCACCAGGCATTACTATTGAGGTATTTAATTAAACTAATTAATTCACTGGAAATTCTTAATTAAGTACTAATTTTTTGTCTAAGTGCATCCTAACTCTACTTATTTTAATTTGCAGATAAATGGAAATATAGTTGCACCAATTGAACCCTCGGAATGGACGTGTTTGACCACTCATTGTGATAAGTGGATTTATATTAAACATGTTAACGGCCTTACAGTACGTGGGAGTGGAACAATTAATGGTCGGGGACACAAATGGTGGGATGTTAATGTAAGTCAATTACACGAATCGATCAGATTTTAATTTTACGTTACTTTTAAATCTTTATAAATCAAGTAACGCCAAGTAAAAGGGAAAATTTATTGATAACGTATTAATTGACGCAAATTAATTATCAGCTTTCTGTATTTGGTACATTTTTGTTTTTTATGCGTAGAGTTTTGTAATTAGGTAGATGTATAAACTATGTTAAATATTTTCGGGAGCAGATGCCAATTTTGAACTGGTTGCTGTCTTCAATATTGTTTGCTTAATAAATAAAAAAATATTGTTTGCTTAAAACGTTTCTCTTTCATTTTTGAATCTTTTAAATGTTACTTTGAACATAATTAACTGACGAATTAGAGTTTCAACCCTTTTCTTTTTTGACATTGGTGAAGCTTCAGTCTAGGTTTCTAACAATTTTTATTACCTCTATTTTCAGGACCGCAGGAAACCAACTGTAAGTTTTGGAAACTTTTTATAAACATGATTAATTTTTCATAGCTCGTGACAGCATTTATTTTTGGCATTTAACTAATAAAAGGTTTATTTTGTAGGCTTTTGATATTTCACATAGCCAAAACATTAGTGTAAGCGGACTGAGGTTTAAGGACAACCCTCACGTTCATTTTCATATTGAGGACTCCGAATCTGCTACTGTCTCAAACATAACCATAGACGCCCCAGCAAAAAGTCCAAATACTGATGGTATTCATCTTTCTAGCAGCCGAGACGTTTCCATTAACCATTGTCGAATTGGAACTGGTAATTTTGGACATCTCTATCAACTTAAAGGATAAACTCTTCTTAGTAATTTTGATTTTTGTTAAGATTGTGCTAAATTTTCTTGAAAATGCAGGGGATGATTGTATCTCAATTGTAGATGGATGTTCCAATCTGAAAATCAGCAACATAATATGCGGACCAGGGCATGGTATAAGGTTGAGTTTCATCTCCTCATTTCTGTCCTCTTGCACTTTCTGTGTTTTATAAATGCAAATGTGATTAATGTAACCTCATCCAAATGCAGTATTGGAAGTCTAGGCAAGCATGGATCAAACGACACTGTTGAAAATGTTCTTGTCAGTGATGTGGTGTTCATAAAATCTACAAATGGTGCTCGGATAAAGACATGGCAGGTAGGTGTTACCGTAAAAAAGGCAGTACGGTGCATAAAGCATCCCGCGTTCACTCAGGGTCCAGGAAACCCGTGACCTATAGGTAACATGTAGGCTTTATTGTTTTGACTATTTTGTTGTTGTGTTTAATCAGGGAGGCCAAGGATACGCTAAGAACATCATTTTCGAGAGAATATTGTCGCAAGATTCTCATAACCCTATAATTATCGATCAGTTCTATTGTGATCATGAAAACTGTATAGAACAAGTAAGTAATTTTTGTTTATAATGTTCAACTTTTGATAAAAGTAACTCCTTAAACTTTGAATTAGTACGTTTATTGTTGCAGGATTTAGCAGTACAGGTTAGTGGTATTACTTTTAGACAGATACTTGGAACTTCCCAAGGTGAATTTGCTGTGAAGCTTGATTGCAGTGCTAAAGTTCCATGTACGGGTATATTAATGGAGGATATATACATCCGTTCAGGCACCAAACGTGAAGCTAAATCGTATATTAATAGTGCACATGGATTTGTTAAGGGTCAAAATTTACCTGAAATCCGCCTTTGAGAATCAGGGGCACGAATTTTGGCCGATTAACTTCCAGATTTCATAATTACCCCCTGTCCCCTTGTTTGTTTTGTCTCGTAACTGCTCGAGGGAGTTCAGAATTCTATCTAGGGGATTCAAAGATGCAACAGTGTTATACCCCTTAGATTTAACTTAAAACAATTTTTAATTACCTATGCCGTTACGCTAGAATCTTCCCTTATGTATAGAGATTCAAATTTTATTTATATTATTTATGCAAAGAAGTTTGATTTTACCTTATTTGCACGACACTTTTTTATTAAGGAAATTCATTTGAACCCTCTTGTGTCCATCTAGCTCCCCTCTTGGCTGAAGGGTCTACTCTTCAATGTGCTAAGTTCTTGTATAAGCATGAGTGTTTGAGCTAAATCTTAACATTGTTTTAAGTTGACTTGGCCTCTTTAAAACACATTCTACGTATACCTTTCTATGGTAAACTGACACTCTTAACTCGGGATTCCTTAAAATTGATTGATAGCCAATTGTAACGAATTCATGGTACTTGTTTGTTATCGAGGTCTTTTTCAAGGTCATTGAATCCTCGCACTTTTAGTTGTTCAGCTGAAAATATTTAAGGTAAAAGTGGAGTACATTTTAAAAAGAGGTATATGAACATCTAATGCCATTGAAAAAAAAAGAACAAAATTAACGATTGTTATATTTATTTGACTCAAAGACGTCGGCAACAATATTTTTTATCTTTCAAATTTGCCTTTGGAGGAAGAAATACAATTGTCTATAAATCATTTTGTGTAATTATGGTTTCTATTCTTTTGTGCACAAATAAAAAATAAATATAGTTTCCAACATGAAACTCGTCATGAATTCGCTTTTCAGAGTGGTCCAATTCAACTCTGCAATTCATTGGTGGGCTTTTTATAATTGTCTAAGTCATAAATAAGTAGTCCGATTGACCAGAATATCATTGGGCAGGTGGGGCATTAACACTCGACCAAAAACAAAATACCAAAAACCAAAACTATGATTAAGTCAACTAAGTTATAAGATGATTTTATTAAACTTATTGATGATTATGAACTGGACAAGTTTCCTCAATAGATTCATCTCCACTTGTCATTAGTATGTTAATTAGTTTTAAACAAAGCGCCAGGTTGGATCCTTTGATCATTCCTATTATTCTCTTTTGTCTGACAAAACTAAGTATTTGACATTTACTCCTACATAGTTTTCTTAGTTTCTTTCATCTTATCCATGATTTTGGTGATATTCGATAATGATGGAATTTGGAAGAAAAATTTAACATTGTCACATCACAAGCCAGTGGTCTTCGTTTGGCAGTTACCATTAAATCACACATATTCCAATAATATTTGCTTTATCCTAGATTAACACACCAAAATATCCTATATCGGTGTCAACTATCTCCTGCTGTACCATTGTTGAGTTGGTTACATAAATAAAATACTAAACAGACTGTTTTACATTAAGGGCAGGTTGTTGGATTCACCTATGATTAATGCCATTGCTATCAAAGTAAGATTAATAAACCTATATAATTACTTGTCTTAACTGAACCAGGAGATCAGAATGACTAAGGCCTCATTTATTTATTTTAGATTATGACGTCTGAATCTAAATAAACGTCTGAATATCAAGATGTGTTTAAGATTAAGATATTTGAATTTGAATATACATCTGAATGTTAAGATGTGAATTAAAATTTGAATACTAAATGATTAAGACTGTTTGATTTTTAATATCTGAATGCATTAAATTACCTTTATTTGAAAATTAATAAACATAAAATTTAAATAAAATACTAATAATCTAATATTCCATCAATAAAATATATAGCTTTTTAAAGTATGATAGTTACTGGTAGTGATGACTAACAGTAGTGCTTGTGAATACCGACTAGAACCGGTGATTGGTGGTAGATTTGGTTGATGGTGGTAGTTTAGGGCAGTAGCTAGTGGTGATTGGTAGTGGTAGCTATTATGATTGAGGATGGTGGTGGTGGGTAGTGATAATTAATAATGGAGGCTGGTGGTGGTAGTAGTTGTGATTAAAGAAGATGGTTGTGGGTGGTCATAGTTTATAATAATGGACAATGCCAGCTATGGTTGTTGATGGTGATGTGGTGGTTAGTTTGGTAGTTGAGGTGGATCAGTGTTGGTTGTCGTTGAGAATAATGTTGGTGGGAGTAGTGGGGATGGTAGGTGGTGGTAGTCGATAATGGTAGCAGTTATGATTAAGGATGACAGTGGTGGTGGTGGTAGGTGGCATGGTGGTAGTTGATAAAGGTAGACGGTAGCGGCAGTTAATAATGAATATGGATTATAGTATCTTAATAAAATTAAGCCTCTGGTATAGATCTTAATCATACAGACCTATTCAGACCCATTAAGTGGTTGTAAAGTAAAAAAACAAACACACTTAATGATTAAGATCTGAATAATTAAGATTCAGACTTAAAAACAAAAACACTCGATATCTGAGATCTGAATGGTTAAGATTCAAATCTCCATTAAGTGCAAACAAATAAGGCCTAGGTGTTTACCCCAAAATGGGTAACAATTAAATTCGTACGCAATTTAAAAAATACATGGTTTAATTCAATATGAATAATTAAGAATAAGAGATGGATGGATTAAAGACAAAATAAACGATTAAACCAATTGCAATATGACGACTAAGCCTGCTCTCAGATTGAACAGTGGAGTTCGTCCTCGATCGGGCCCTCGGTACAAGCTCGATCGTGAATAAGGAATAAAACAAGCAAGCAATGCCTTGAACGGTAGCTAGAGGACAAAGATAAACTTTTTTGTAAATATGAATGAAGTAGGCACATCGAGCCTCTTCAACGAGGTGCAAAAGGCTCTGAACCGGGTAAGACGTCTACCCTCTATATCCTTTGCGGATTTTGCTTAGCTTTAGCATGTTCTAGTGACTAGATTGCTTTTCAAGCTTCGGTGCTTCATTATGAAAGCTTCCTTCGGTCTTGCTTAGAGATTAGCCAGCTTGAGTTCGAGCTCAAAGAGCAGGTCTAGAAGAAGGAGATGAACATGGCTCTTAGTGAATAACAAGACGAGGCCCTCAAGGACCTCCCAATTCTTCGAGCCGAACTGGAAAAGGCACAGAAGGAGGCCTCATCCGTGAAACGGGAACATGCCGAACTGGTTGAGAAGGTAAAAATCTTTGAGGCTAAAAACGAGAAGCTACTTGTGATGACTAATGACGCAGTTTTGTAGGTACAAGAGAAGATAGACCTGATTGACCAGCTTCGGGCCGATATGGATGAGGTCAAGACCACGACCGAAGCGATGAAAGGCAGGATGGACCTACTGGCTTTGAAAAAGGAGGCTACAAAAGAGGAGCTGGTATCAGTTAAGGACCAGCTCTGTGTAGCGAAGGGCAAGGTCGACAAGTGGTCACGGTTGAACGATGAACTCCGGGCACAACTGAACTCAGCCATCACGGAACGAGATGCCCTCGGTGAGGAATACACTATGTTGAAGTCCAAATTGTAGGTAACTTCAATCAATTCCTCCGAGGTCGAGAAAATGCGGCCCAGTATAAGATTGATGTAAAGATAGCTGAGGCCCACCTAAAGATGAAGACCGAGTATGAAAAGTGGCTACCCCGGAGGGAGACCCCCGAGGACATTCATACTCGAGATTTTGACCTATTATCGGAGATCGAAAAAGCTAAGAGGCTCGAGGCTGAGGCAAAGGATCTTTACGAGCCTGAAAGTCTCGAAGACTCTGATAGTTCCGAGGGTTCTGACGGTTCCTTTGCTGAGTCGGGCCCCAGTGAAGATTAGATGTAGGTGCCTTAGTCCTTTTTTTTGTTTTCCCTTGTACATTTTCTTTCTTGCTTATTTTGATGTTGTTTTGTCATGCCTTTGTAAATATTTTTTGGAATATATAAAAAATTTCCTTTGGCAACAACATGCTTTTACTTTCAGCATCTCCTTGCAATTTTGTATTTGCATATCGTTCGTAATGCCTTAGTATAGAATCAAACATAACCTAGAGTATCCTATCTTCGGAGGCTCAAATGCGGCCTGACTTTAATGGAAATTCCGGATTACTCGTGACGTCGAGATTTTTATAAAACCAAAGGTCTTTTAAGATGCTTAAGTGTTTTAGTCATATACGACGATGTTTTTGCCGAGGATAAAATTTTAATAAGTTTTTATTATACATTAGGGCCTTACTTTCTGAGTACGGACTTCAGACGTCTCCGAGCCATTTTTAGGGTGGCCGCAGCCTTTTATATTCAGGCTCTGCCTAATAGGCTTGATGAATCCGGGATTCGATAGCCCAGGCCGTCCTAATATTTACCGGACAATAGTCCCCGAGTAGGGGTAGTTTGTGGGCTTTAGGATCTATGATCCATTGTGAAACATCGAAGAGGCGAAATACGCAGTAATAAAGCATAAGAGAAGCAAAGATTTCTTTCATTGTTTTATATGTGAGGTACATAGTCGGAGGCGCATAAGCCTTGTGACATGGCTTTAGTGGGCTACATGGGCACGATTTGTATAACTGTTTAACCCTTACAATGAATCCTAATCACCAAGACTTGGCTTTTGACATATAAAACTTTCCCTTGCTAAGAATTTCAATCAAAGGGTAATGGCCTCCAATATTCAAGGTCGAACTTGTGAGGGCTCGGATATTGTTGATTTAGTGCAAACGATCATCAATACCGATTTAAGGTCGATCTTCAAAATCTAAGGTAGCACGTTTTACTGTTGCCTCGTTAAAAACCTTGCCGAAAAACCCTCTTCGAGACAAAATCGGTTTAAGGGAAAAAGAGTAAAACACGTGCTCTCAGACCTAATAGCCACATTCGCCCCTAGACGAGTACCTGCATATGTTAGCCAGTAATGTAACTAAATTAAAAAGGAATTAAGTTTGTACCATAGCAGTAGTACCACTTTAAGTGTGTTATGTTCCAGTTGTTCGGTAGTTGTACACCATTTCCTGATTCGAGTTTATACGAGCCTTTGC